CAACATCATGTGCAAGGATAAATGCAGATTTCTTGTCAACTAACTCTGCAATCCTTCATCAAATTCCTTCCTTGTATCTTACTCGCTCTGCTTCTCTTCATCTACATCCACATCTTTCTCCCTTCCAGCACATGTCCAATCACTTTGTCGTCACTTTGATAGAATGTGACGGAAACAGAACCAACTGTCTACATCCACCAAACCTCCATTTCCTCTTCACTAACAGGAATCTTCTCTGAGCACATAATTAAATCCTAGATATTACCCATGGACGCCGAACTTTACGGAGAAAAACAAAGCAAGACAAAAACATCGGCGTACAAATCATCGCGGGAGAAAAGAAGCAGGATGAAAACAGCGCAGTTGTAAAACATTGTGGTACAGTACAGCGCTTCAAAAACATCGCAGTTTTAAAACATTATCGAAAAAATACAGCTCCTATAAATCATTGCCCGACAATAATATCACTGACATATGTTTTACTCCTTTAAAATTCGTAAATTCGCATTATGATATTTGAATGCAAGAAGGAATGAGGAACATTTTTACCTCTATATTTTTGAATTAATTAATAGTTTTTTGCTAAAGAAGCAAAAAGGAAACTTAAACTTTCAAAAACTAAAAATGAGTAGAAAATTAATGCAGCAATTAACGCATAGCAGTTAACAGAGTTTAAAACTTATGCAGTTAAATATTAAAGTTCATTATTTAATTAATATCTTTTATAAAGTTGTAGTGATAGTTTTTCATAAAAAATATAGTTTAAAATGTGTACAAAAGAGAACATGAGTAACTGCATAAAGTTATTTATATTAAAATTGTTGTATTAATAGTTCATTTTCCGTTTTGTATTGCTCAAATTTCCATCTTGCTTTTTAGCAAAACATGATTAATGATTCGGAAATAGGAAATGTAGAGGTGAAAACAGTCCTCATTCCTTCTTGAGCTCACAAATCGTAATGCGAAGATACATTTACAACTTTTAAAAGCCTGCGAAACACATGTCTGCGATGATTTATAGGTGCTTTAAAACGGCTTTACGATGATGCTTTAATTTTACGATGATGCTTTAAAGCAGCGATGTTTTTGAACCGCTTTACTATTGTCGACGATATTTTTAACACAATGTTTTAGAACGGCAATGTTTTCTCCTTGCTTTTTTTTTTTTTTTTTTTTTTTTTTTTTTTCTCCCGCAATGTGTTTTCGCCTTAAGTTATTTTCTCCGCGACGTTTACCAACCAACGTTACCTACGTTAAAACGAAACAACGTTAAAACCAAGATAATCTTCATCAAGATCGACCATTAAAACCAAGACAAATCAAGATCGGCCATTAAATTCAAAAGAAGTCTCCTGGTTTTAATGGCCTTCGTTTAGCCATTAATACTCGCAGCATCTCCGTAAGTCAGCTCCTCATCTAAACGAACATAATCACAGGCCATAATTTTCGCCAGCAGCGACGTAATGTAATGTGCTTGACATATTTCCAAGCAAGAAACAAAGTAAATCTGGTCTCTTCCACTGTGTACTGTTTCTGAAAATCATGGGCAGTACTTTACACATCGACGCAAGTTCATCTTTATATTCTAGATAATTCTTTGCTCAGGCTTGGGTAAGCTTGCTATGCTAAAAGTCAGAAACATAACATAAATGTTTCCACATTTAAATATTTAGGTTGTCAGCCTACTGTATATTTTATTATCGTTTAGGCCTAAATTTCATATTTAAATTTTCGACCTTCAGAAGTGTCTGTATGCTACTATGTTATTTAATGGCAATCTATTTGGGGGCCACAAGAAGATATTCAAGGAAATAAATTTAAAGGAAATGACACAAGACGCTATAAAAACTTTCATATAAAAAGCAAAGATTTTACTTGTTTTATTTAAATTTATTATCCCCCCTAGATTTATTTAAAGTTGAAAAATGATATTCATTTTAAAAATGCACAAAATACAAAAGTTTGATTTCTCATGCTTTTCACATCTTTCATTTCATTTTATCAACTCTTTCATTTTTTCCCCGAATTCGAACCAGAAAATGTCACATTTTTGGGGCGTTTTTTAATTCCTTTTACATTTGTAAGGATAGTGATATTAAAATTAACGTTTGTAATATTTTTAAATATTTAGACCGATTTTTAATGCAAAAATGTAATAATACTATCTCTGGAAATGGTTTTTTTTTTTTTTTTTTTTTTTTTTTTTTTTTTTTTTTTTTTTTTGTAACATAAGCAGCTTACAGAAGTTACATTTACGGTTGTATATACTATATATACACTCGTCCGCAAAATTAAGAGAATTTGCACATTATGTCGAATGGATATATTTTAGTAAATTTGGTATGAACAAACATTTGTAACAGGGAAAGAGTTGTACCGTTGAAAAGCCCTTTTATAAACGCATGATCATCAGTAAAGCTCATAGCGCAAGGAATCCAAAATCCACGTTACGATAATGACAAGGAGTGTTTTCCCCTTTCACAGCCAAACAAGTAAATATTACTTCTTATTATTCTTTTCGAGAAATTAAAAATACCACAGGATATGCTGGGATTTGTTTCATAAAACAACTGGGAGGTTTCGTCCTCGTTAAGCTAGTCAGTTTAGCAGCTTTCATAAGAATAGGAAAACGTGTTCTTTTTTTATGATTTATATAATTATATTGGAAGAGAACATGCCAATATGAAATTTTAAATTAACAAAAAGAGCAACCTTAGCATGATGTAGGTTTCTTTTCTCCCGTAAATACTTTTAATGAAGGCTTGGCAAGATTGATTATGGCAAACCATGCCAAGGATATCTTCCTAGCAGAAGGTTTGTCTTCATGGAAGACTTTCTAAAGGCACTGCATGTATATATACACATACACATAGAAAAAAATCACAAAACCGCTATTGCAACTAGCCTTTTCGTCTAGAACGAACCTAGGTCGAACTATCACGGTTCAGTGACTTCAGTGTTCAGCTCAACTGCTGGTTGGCCATTTACAGAATGGAAAAATTCTAAAGAAATTATTTTCTTTCTGAAGAAGACGGACCTCTAATTGCTCTCGAAATCGACATAGTTATTCAAAATATATGCTGAACTAAGGTCTTCCTCCTCCCAATTTTAAATAGTTGACTAAAATCAAAACCAAGCTGTATGGCAACTTAATCTGAGGCATTTTCTCGCATTTGGCCAATTTATAATCTATTTTGAACTTATTTGGCGATATTTACTTTTATTTGGCGTCTTTACGTCAGTTTCCTTATTCTACAATGCTTTGACCATATCATCCGAATAGTTGATCACATTAAACGATGTGATTTTTCATGTTTTCGTATACAAATGGTCGAGACTTATGTAATTCGATAACACTATTCGAATCACAGCATTCACCGCCATTACATTAAGCGTTGTCTACTGTATTAGTTAAAACTGCATTGTGTCCCTCCCAATACAGGTGTAATAAAAATTGTTTTAATCATCTCAGTACGTTATATAGCCTGTAATGTATAAGTTTCTACAATAAAAAAACGAAAAATTTTAATGATTTTTAAACGAGATTTAAATTAATGACATTGTGCAAATTCTCTCGTAAATATTGTTTTTTTAATGCAATTTATGGTACATTTCATTCATATTTAATTATACTTTTGGTATTTATAGTTTAGTTTAGTGACGGAGGACGCGAGCACCACCTCTCTATCATCGCGGTTAAATGGTATAGCAATGCGTCCTCCTTTAAAGCACCTCAAGATGTATGGGGAAGGGTGGAGGCCACACGAACCCACCAGAACAGTCGCCGGGACTCAGCATATTTACCGAATGTCATGCGTAGGAAAAAATATAATGAATAAATAAATACCAAAAATGAAATAAAATAAAATAAAAATTTTAATTTAAAAAAATGCCAAACAAGGGCCATGGCAGATAAGCAGTTTGCCACAATTAGTGCTTTAAGTGACATACATATGCAGCATAGTATTGCATGAGACATTCAATGATACATGATATATGATACTAAGTGAAATATTACTGGATGATACTCAATGGTACTTATGACATTAGTTAGCTGTATAACATTTAGACTGTTGTATACTACACGATACATGAAACCTATATAACATGAATCATGAAAATATGACTATATACTACATAGAGACTACAGACCACATACTACATAGAGGTACAAGTTACATACTGCAAAAGGACTACATATTACAAGATATAAGATACTAAGAGATGACAATAATTATAATAATAATAGAATACATTTACCATGATTAACTGAAGTTGCACAAAATACACCAATAAAGGCATATGCTTCTGCATGAATTACCTTGAACTATATGATACATTTGACGTTATATGATTTTGTACGATACAGCATATTGCTGCATTATATATGGTATAAAGATATAAAGCCATATGAAAACTAACTTTGAATGAAGAGATAATACTAGTGAGACTATAATACAGCGTGATTCTACATTATTCTACAGATACATTTATGCTGTATAATTACATTATTATATGATGCTTAGTGATACTACATACACAGGATAACTTAGTACATGATATGTACTAAATAACAGGCGATTCCATTGAGACTATGTTACTATTTGATACTACTTAACATACATCATGCATTTATTACTGCATGAAAATATACTATTACACTATACGCCGAAGAGAGTATAAACTAGCGTAATACACAACAGACATATCATAGTACAACATAATACTACATAATATAATACAACATAATACTACATAATATAATATAACATAATACCACACAATACTAAATGCTAGTACACAATACCACTTGATACATACAGGATACTTGCATTACCACGCATTACTTTGTGTGACAACAAGATTGTATGGACGATACCATATGTTACTGCATAAAACTAATGGCATAACATTATATGATACTACATGATACATATTGGGTGTTAAAAAATACAGAAAGACATATAAATCAAAAATGTGTCTAATAGTCCACCACCTACCTGCACAGGAAAGGCTCACACTGCAGCACCATAGGAGACGATCTTCTCGATGACTGCGAGGAAGAGTGTTTTTTGTATGTGGGGATTGGTTCCCCAATTGTGTCCTTGTTGCCGACGAAGATGTTGGGCTATGAGGAAAGTACGAAATTGCAGATCCAAAATATGTGTCATCCACGTCAGTTTCTCATCAAAGATGAGACCGAGATACTTAAGTGTTTTTGCTATTTTAATACGATGGTTATTGATGCAGATAAGGGGTCTACGAGCAAGTGATTCTCCTTCTTTGGCAATGAGCAGAATGTTACATTTATTTTTATAGTACCTGTAATTTTTGTTGCTGGCACAGTTGTTAAAATTTGGCGCAGACTTAGAATTTCTTTGCAGTTCTTCTCTCGTTCGACCCTGTACTACCAACGACCCTGTACGTCATCAGCGTAGGCAAAAATCTTAGTGTGTGCTGGCCATATGTTTGCTAGGACTTTGTTAAAAGTGATGTTCCACAGGGATGGTCCTGCACAAGACCCCTGTGGGTATCCTCTAGACCAGTAATTCCCAACCGGTGGTTCGCGATGTTTGCAGACGGTGTTCGCAAAAATAATATTATAATGGTGGATTTTTTAAAACGCCATTAAAATCAAAACACACACACACACACAAATTAAAGAACACACCCAATGTAAAACAGATTGTTCGCTGCCTGTTTGTTAAGAAATCTATAATAAATTTCAATATTTTCATTTCATTTTTCCTTATTTGTTTTTCTAAATTACTTCATCAATATCAAATTATATCAACAATTTTATGCATTATAATTTATTCCTCTTATTCAAGTAATCAAATACTATTCTCTTTTTATTACAAACATTTATTTATATTTAAAACATTTTATCAATGTGATTAGTATCATCTTCTGCTTTATATTTAAAATCATTGCAGCAGTTTTTCCCTTCTGTGTAATATTTTTTTTTTTTTTTTTTTTTTTTTTTTTTTTTTTACAATACAATTGGAAATAAATATCAAATTAAGGCTGTTTACTACAGATTTTAGAATTAGATACTTGTTCACAACGGGAACTAGGAGAGTAGTGTTGTATTAACTGTCTATTTTGTTTGTCTGTCTGTCGAGGCTTAGCACTTGTAAAGCTTGATAGTGATACTGTGACTGTCAAGTTCTCGTGTAAATGATTTAATAATTATTACTTTAATTATTATTTTAGCTTATTTTTATTATGGATCGATGGTTAAAAACGGGTCGTTTAGAAACGAGACATGATAATCGAGATGATAGTTCTGAAAGCTGTAGTGAGGTACCGTTTCACCAGACGAAAAAAAAAAAGGAAATGATGATAGAAAAGGGAAAACGCGAAAATATAACAGCGACTATCTACAATTGGGTTTTCATTATACTGGGGATGAGTCGGAACCTAAACTGCTTTGTGTTATATGTAACGAAGTTCTTGCCAACAGCAGTTTAAAACCATCATTTCTTCGTAGACATATTGAAACAAAACATCCGGCACACAAAGATAAACCTCTTGAATATTTAAAAAGAAAATTAGCAGACATCGAAAGATATCGCCAAATGTATGCTTGGGGAAAAGGCAGCAAAGAAAATTGAGCTAGTTTCCTTTTCAAACAACACGGTGTCGCGTAGAATTAATGACATCGCTAATTATGTGGAAAACGAACTTCTAAAAAGAATAAAATTGAATTATTTTGCATTTCAACTTGACGAATCGACGGATGTAACAAATGCCGCAGTCTTGCTTGTCTACTTTAGATATCTTTTTACGAATATTGTTCAAGAAGATGTACTATTTGCAAAACCTTTGAAAACCTATACAACCGGAGAAGCGATTTTCGATATGATCAATGGGTATTTTGAAAAGAATGGAATAAGCTGGTCTTATTGTGTGGGTGTGTCTACAGAGATGGTGCAAAATCAATGACAGGAAAATTTTCTGGTTTTGTGGCACGGGTGAAGAAGATTAAAGAGAAAATTCAATGGACTCATTGTTGTATTCATAGACAAGCTTTAAAATATGTAAGCGTATTCCTGCAGAGTTATCTACTACTTAAGTGATGCTGTGAAAATTGTGAACTTATAAAATCGCGTGCTACAAATTACCGTCTATTCCGTACGCTTTGTGAAGATTTCGGAAGTTTCCACGTTTCTTTACTACTTCACATAGAAGTTAGATGGCTTTCCCGTGGTAAAGTTTTGACGCGTTTGTTTGAATTGAAGTCTGAAGTTCAAGCATTTTTTATTGATCATCCGTTTCATTTGTCTTCTTGTATATCCGATGTTCTTTGGCTGCAAAAGCTTGCGTATTTAGCTGACATTTTTTGTAAACTGAATGAATTAAATATGTCTTTACAAGGCGAGGGTGTCACCATTTTCAGTGTACATGATAGAATTGAGGCTATGTTGAAAAAGATCAATTTTTGGATTCAATGCCTGCAGATGAATGAGTATGGATGTTTCGATTCTGTCAGCACTTTTTTATCAGAAAATTCAATTAAACTTGACGAACGAAAACATTAAAAGGAGTATATGTGAACATCTGAACTATCTTCGATTAATTTTCGATGACTATTTTCCCAATCGACGCAACATATCCATCTCAAACAACTGGATACGTAATCCATTTCAAGGAAATGTAAGTTCAGAAACCTCTCTAAATATACTGGAAAAAGAAAAACTCTTGTGACAGTTCTCTAGAAGCAATTTTTAAAGATCAATCTTTAATTGACTTCTGGCTCAGTATACAAAATGAATATCCTGTTCTGCGAGAAAGGATTTTCAACATATATTTATCTGAAAGATAAATACAGAAACAGGTTAAATGCAGAACCTGATCTAGGACTGAAATTGTCATGTATTGAGCCTAACTTTGAATTGCTTTGTTCTATCAAACAGCCACAATTATCCCATAAAGAGTTTTTCCAAATGTAAACCATAAGAATCAGTTTGTTAAATTTACCTTGTTTTCAACTTTTCTAGCCATCATTTTAGTATTAATGTTTTATTTAAATGTTTCACGATTAATATAATCAATTATTCTGCAATATGAAAATATATATTCTATCAAATTTTATTGTTTTTTTTTTTTTTTTTTTTTTTTTAACCTGTCATTAACGACTACATAGGGGTTTCGTTAAATTTTTTCGGACATCTCTTTTGGTTCGCGAGGGAAAAAAAAAAAAAGGTTGGGAAACACTGCTCTAGACTGAGCTCTTTCGATGACACCATTGTTGTACACTGCTATAAGATGTTGTCGATCGGCAAGGTAATTGCATAGTGTGTTGTATATATTGCTAGGACAACTGATATTCCGCAGAGCTTCTTTAATTGAAAGCCACCATACCATATCAAAGGCATTTCTTAGATCGATACTAATCAGTGCAGTATGATAGCTATGGTTTTTATTTTCTAAAATTGCTGAGTGAATGTCATGTAAAGCATGCTCCCCTTGGTAAATATGGTGACGAAGGCGATTCATCAGGAGTTTCTCAAATATTTTACCTAGCGCAGATAAAAGGCAGATTGGCAGATAGGAGGAAGAGAAGGCAGGGTCGCGATTTTTCTTTAAAAAGAGCATGACCTGTCCAATTTTAAAGGCTCTCGGAAAAGTGCCTGTGTGTAATAGTTTGTTGAAATAAGTTATGAAGTAAGGCAGTGAAGCTGTTATTACTACTTTTATTACGGTATAGTTGATCTCATCCGGACCAGGAGCCTTTTTGCGTGGAAGATAACCTGAGTATTTGCTTAACTTCTAATAATGTGAAGTCCAAATCTTTTGGGGTAGCTGGTACAGGTAGATTATTTCTTATATGTCTATGATCTTCTGTGTCCTCATCCGGCGTGTCTTGACAGAAGGTATTGTCTAGAATTTCATTAATTGTTGCTGCGGTATGTTGGTTTGTAGAATCAGGAGAGTGAAGCAAACGGAAACGTGCAGGTTTAAATAGTTTGTTGGTGGCGATCTTATGGTGTAGTCCAAAGGTGTCTTTCGTTTCGGTGCAGAATGCCTTCCTTGAGTTAATTTTTTATTGTACAATAAGTCTTTTACATACTGTACGTTTCTCGTTGATATATTTGCAGTGTGTTTGTTTGCTGTTTATTTCGTCGTTCTTGTTTTAATCGACGGCGAAGAGCTCTACATTTCTTCTGTTGAATTTGTTAAGTCTCGTGTCCACCAATTGATTGTATATAATTTCTTGGATGTTCGAATTAGGAGGTGTTCTTCGCACGTTTTGCGGACTGTTGTCATTAGTGCGTTTTATGTGGATTTACAAAAAAAAGCTGTTTGAAAGCAAAGGTACAGTTTTTAAGAATATTCATATCTTACTTTTGAATCGGATTGATTTAAACAATAAAAATGCATTTAATTCGTGATCTAATTAAAAATATTCAATATTTTTATAGAAATACCTTATATATTTTTTATTGCGAAACTTTAATGAATTTTTGCTTAACAAATACAACGATCTCAGTGGATCACTGCACGGAATAAAACATTTTTATCTCCAATGCGCGACTTTTCGCGAGACAATCGGAAATTCTAAAGATATGCTTTTTTTAAATACTTTGTGATTTGGATGTTGAATTGAATTTTATTTGGCCAAATGCGATGAACGTCATATATAATAAATGAGGTGAACACGTGAAAAATTAATAACAAAAAGACAAAAGTGTTGTTTTTTTTTTAAGTCCAAAGGGGCAATGTGCCCCGAAGGAATATTAATTTCGTTTTCGCGTTTAATTTTGCAATTATTCACTACAAGCCTTGTTTCACTTTTCAAATTGTTGCCACCGAACATTATCGCACTGTATTATATTTAAAGAAATTAAATAATGAAGAATCTGCATAAATGATGTATGTTTCTCGCATTGTGATAAAACCAACGGATACCTAAGAGCCATCGAATTTTGAATAACGTAATCCTCCTACGAATATGTGCGTCTGGAAGCCCAAATTTGAAATTTGAATTCTTCATTATCGACTTCATATTTTGTAAAACTTTAACGAATTTTTGATTAACAAACTCAAGGATTTCAAAGGCAAGCAATGGCATCGCTGTACAGAAAAACTATTTTCTATCTCCAGCGCGCGAGACTGTGTATTCGGAAATTCTAAAAGATAGGCTGATTTTCAAATTAATTTGCGATATTGCTCTTGAACTGAATTTTATGTTTTAAGTGCGAAGAACATGATTTAATAAATAAAAGTAACATAGGAAATGCTAAAAAAAAAAAAAAAAAAAAAAAGCCCATTTAGACGTGTATCGATAAGTCTTAAATTTAAAAATAGGAAACCTATCATTTTTTTTTTTTTTTATACTTTTTTGTATCTTAATTTTTTTTTTAAGTCATTACTAAAATACTAAATATTTATAGGATAAATGCAGAAAATTCTGAAAAAAATATAAAAATATATATACAAACACTTAACACTGCATCTGAAATTCTAAACTTAAGGTGCTATGCAGATTTAAAATGCTTCTGAGCTTGTTGTTGAACTTTATGTGGTGTAAGTGCGAAGAAAATCATGATGAATGATAAGGCTTAAATATATAATAATAATAATTAATTAATTTTTTAAAAAAAAGAGTTTAGCGGGAGTGAGTGCAAGAACAGACTGGTAGACTGCAATTCAGAGAGAGCGTACCAAGAGAGTAAACCAAACCCTTTTGAGCGACTATTAGAATCTAAAACTTAAGGTATGCTGTAAAGTATTTAATGTGTGCTGTATACGTGCAAACTGAAATGAAACACGTAATTGCTGTACGTTACGTAATTAAAATTCAAAATTCGGCAAAAACCTCAGTCTAGGGAAATTTCTTTTTTACCCTTGAAAAAGTAAAACTTGTGTGGCCACCATGAAAATCAACTGAGTATTATTTAAAATTCTATCT